TATATTAGCGTACATTATGTCTATGTTACATAATTTGCACATATATTTGAAATTGACTTTTTGACATTTATTTCTTTTAAAACAATTATACTTTTAATCAATATAACAGAAGTTTCAAAAGTATATATAAAAAAAGGCAAATGCCTTAGAAGTAAAATCAGTTTGATGACTCCAAATGACACTTGTGTCGGGCAAGCCTAATCATACTTAAACCAATTAAATATTATATTTAAACAATGAAACAGATACAAAAAGTAAACAAAAAAACCTTTAAAAAACAACGAACAATTAAACGTCAAAGGATAAGCAAAATCATAATAACAGAAATTATATAGTTAAGATAAGGAGAAATAATTTGAAAAGATATATTTTTGAGTTTTTTTAGAAAAACATTTCCATTTGGAAGTTGATTAAATTATATGGTACCACTATAACGAATATTATGTTGCATTTCAATAATTTTGGGTTGGGGATGATGAAGATCACGGAAAGCCCTAGTATTGTAGAAATGGATTTTAGAATTTGTTAAAAATTTACAAGACAAGTTTGAAAGGAGTTCATTATTAATATATTTTTAAAAAATACATTGCTGGAGTTTGTTGTTAGAGATAATGCGAACAGTTTTTTTGTTTAAGAAGATAAACGGTATTTTATTAAGATTAGAAGGGTAATTAATGGAAGAATGAGAGAGCAGTAAATATTGCCAAGAATGTAGGAAGGTAAAAAAGAAGAGAGGTCATACAAAATACCAATGTTTTTTTGAAATTTTGATTTCAATTTGTTTTATATAGGTTTTAAAGTTTAATTCCGCATTGATTTCGACACCAAGAGACTTTGTATGTTAAACAAGAGGTATTATTTGGTCTTCGATAAGTATATTGGGTGTTTCATTACCTTTTTTTTGGTGACGACATCCAAACAGCATGAAATTGCATTTGTAAATGTTAAAAGAAAGTTAACAATAAAATAATCGTGTATATTTTGTTGGTTAAATGTGTTGAAAATAGATCTGAAACTAACGTTGGAATAGAAAATGGTAGTATTGTCTGTCTGCATAACGATAAAAAGTAAGAATTGTAGAGGCAATTGGTAAATCGTTGATATAGAGTAAAATAAATAGGGGACCAATGAGAAACCCTTGAGGCAGGTAAAATGATTTAAAATCAGAAATAAAATTTATTTTTTTGTGCATTTGAGCCTAATTTGAGAAGTAATTATTAAAGAGATTTAAAAAAAAAAAACACCACGGATTCCATAATTATTAAGTTTGGAAATTAAAAGTGAGTGATCTATAGTATAAAAAAGCCTTTGATAGGTCAAAAAAGACTGTCCAGATGCAAAGGAATTGTTTTGAATTGTATCTGTAATCTTGTTAGTAAGGTAAATTAAAGCAGAAGTTGAATAATGTTTTCTATTCCAATTTCAATTCAATTCAATTCAACTTTTATTGTCAAACACAGTGAGAACATGGTTTGAAATTCTTCTTGTTTGTTCACAGTTAAAATGTAAAGTTAAAACAAGACACAACAGATAAAATCACAGAAAAAAACAGAGGAAACAGCAAAAATTTAAAAACAATAAAGGTCTGTTTTATTTGTTTATGAACTCATAATTAAGGTCACAAATAAGTTTTTCAAGGATCTTTGAAGAATGGAAGAATGGAAATTGGACGATAATAATTAGGGTCAGACCATTATTAAAAATAAGTATTACTTTTGCTATTTTCAGGCTGTCGGGAAAAACACTAGTAAAAAAAGATAAATTAAAGATATGAGTATGTGGAAAAATAATAAGATCAGTAAATTGCTTTACAGCATTCCCACAGATGTCATCAATGCCAGGAGCCTTGTTGTTTTAATGGATCTGACAATAGACCTTTCGGGAGTGTCAATCAAACTTAACAACACTAATCAGAACAACAGCGCTAGGAATACGCGCGCGTCTCACAAACACACGTGTCCTCATGAAAGGTTTTAGATGTATTATTTTGGATTTTGTTAGCAAGTTTCGGACCAATACTTTTGAAATATTTGTTAAACGAATTTTCAACTATGTGGGGGTCTTTTATTAATCTCAATTCTAGATGTATTGTTATTGCTTGATGGTTTAAGGAGAGAATAGATAAAACGCCAAGTAATTTTAATATTGAATTTAAGTTTGTCAAACGAATTTGTGTATTACAGTATTTTTTTTAGCAATTTTAAGAAGACCCAGAATTTTAAGGGTTTTCATGTAGCAAATTGCATATTTCTTTTTAAAATTAACAGAAAAATGTACCCTCAAATACTCGTTCATGAGTCATCAATCCTTAAATGTGCCGAAAATGGCGCCAAATTTGAAATAATTGACCCTTGACCCATCATTCTAAGGATTTTCTGGGTAGCTAAACGTTTCTATTCAACATTGACAGAAACACCTACCAAAAATAGACGTTTGAGAAGTTATTAAACCTTAAATATATATAAATGGCGGCAATTTTGAATTCAAGATGTCCGAAAATGTCCTAAAGTTGTTTTTTTCATGCTCAGTGGGGTCCTTATAACACATTTATTTCAGCAATAAAACATTTTCTTGCAATTGGTTTTATAGAAAATGTAATTTTTTGCAAACTATTTTTTAGTTTTTATTAATCTAGGCCTAAATAATTTAAGTATCCAGGTATGACTTACGTATTCCATGATGGTACGAAAAAATATCGGCTTATATATCTTCAGTCTATATCCTGACAATTTATTATTAAGTCGTTTTTATGTCTTAAGTTAAAGTGTCACTGTGTTTAATCTTAGTTCGTTTTATAGTTCACGTCTACCTAATCATGCACACAATATTATAGTAATATCGAGGGCGCTATTTCCGGTGCAAATGTTTTCTTCCATTTGTGAATAAATGGTCCTAAAAATCGGTTATTTATAGAACAAGAATGTGCGCTCTTTGCTCGCTTACCATTTAGTATGTTAAACGTCGCGATTAGTTTCCGATAAAAGAGAATGACTACTAAAACAAGAGGTTGCATGATGTATGTTATTAAGTACGCCATTCTGTCTTTGTTAAGACCTCTTTTAATTGTAATGACGAACGATGGGTAGACCTATTGTTAGCGATGATAACTTGTGATGAGGTGTAATTGTGGTAAAACGTTCATGCAATATATTTTAATTTTTAAGTGTTGGTTCTGGTTCTTCTGTTTCTTCAGTTCAGGTTTTCTTGCTTTCTTTCTTTATATTTCTTTAGGAGGTTTTATTTATTATTTATTTTTAAATTTAATAATTAAAATATTTACCATTTAAGACAAAAATAATAATAAATATAAATATAAATAAATATGGAGATATTGTAGGCGACTGAATTTTGACGGTTATTGCCAGTGGAAACATAAATGCCATGTATCTAATTTGAATCAAATTGTATCTTGTATTAAGTATTAATTTGTACGATTATTGTTTATTAAATTGCATATCACATGCAGCTAATTTGAACATTAATTAGTACTGCACTACCATATAGATTAGTTTCCGATAAAAGAGAATGACCACTAAAACAAGAGGTTGCATGATGTATGTTATTAAGTACGCCATTCTGTCTTTGTTAAGACCTCAATTAATTGTAATGACGAACGATGGGTAGACCTATTGTTAGCGATGATAACTTGTGATGAGGTGTAATTGTGGTAAAACGTTCATGCTATATATTTTTTTTAAGTGTTGGTTCTGGTTCTTCTGTTTCTTCAGTTCAGGTTTTCTTGCTTTCTTTCTTTATATTTCTTTAGGGTGTCTTATTTATCTATTATTTATTTTTAAATTTAATAATAAAAATATTTACCATTTAAAACAAAAAATAAATAAATAAGGAGATTTTGTAGGCGACTGAATTTTGACGGTTATTGCCAGTGAAAACATAAATGCCATGTATCTAATTTAAATCAAATTGTATCTTGTATTAAGTATTAATTTGTACGATTATTGTTTATTAAATTGCATATCACATGCAGCTAATTTGAACATTAATTAGTACTGCACTACCATATAGAAAATAGTGTTCTATTTGCTCTATGGTACTACTTACTGTATTACAGTTTGCTATCAATATTGAACAGAATATTTCCAGTGCGTAAAGAAGTAATTCAAACAAAACTCAAGTTATGCCTACACCGTTGCACATTGAAAAGTTTAAGGTTTTGAAACTGTTAATTCAATTATAGTAACGTCACACCGCATGAATCTTAATACAAGAAGTCCAGAGGTTTATGTATTTAGTACTGCTATCGCCAGTAATTTGTAAATTCTAACACTGCAAAATATACACAGCAAACACAAAATGTTCTTATAAAGTTTCAATTCAATTAACATTTATTGAATTAAGTGAACTTTGATGATGTATAAATAATAATATAAATGCCATATTTTTGTCCAATGTTTACAAAATATGTAACTTTTAAAAATGCATTACACAGTTTAGGCCTATACAATAAACATTTAAAAACAAATTGCAGTTGAATATCCATGAGCGACCACTTTTCAGAAGCCCGTTTAGTTTCGCTTTTTACTATTTTTTTTTGTGTATATTTCTCATTAAAATTAGTTTCAGCAACTATATGGACCTATAATGCATATTACATACGCCGATGAACTTATATATATATTTCAATGCATGTCAACTATTGAACACTGTATTTACCTTATACATACATATATATATATATATATACGGTATAGAATTTGACACAAAAACCAACTCACTGCAACCAGTGTTTACCAATATATAAGAACTTTATTGCCAACATCGGCATTTCCGGTCATTTTTTGAATAAATGTTCAATTTGAACATGATTAGAGCAAATAGAAACATGAACGTTAAAAAAGGCTGGTACCAAAATTGACTCTCTATCGCCAGGGGCTGAGGAGATACAAGGGTTTGACGATTGGCAGTGCGCTGAGGGTATCCCCAGGTACGAGGAGCCCAGATATTGTAGTTAAAAACAATTGACATCATGGATCTTTAAAGTCAGACCCCGGAGGAAAAACATTTTTCCTCCGGGGTCGACTTTACCACCACCCGCCTGGGTCGACCATTCTTTATACATTTGGTGGTATTAAAATATTTATACATACAATATTATATGTTGACAAAGTTTTTCCAAATAGCTGAATTTACTTTTACACACGCTTTATCATCCTTACTGAGCTACTCAACTGTTGCATTTTTTCATTAATATTACACTTGAAACTCGAACTATATAAACCATTTAAAAAGCATGAATACGAACATGTGTCAAACCACCACCCGCCACCACCTTCTAAAACGCAGTTGCGATTGTTCATGTCGTAGGTTGAGAATTTTACCCCTTTTTCTTCATAGATTACTGGACCTATGGTTTAAAAAGTAAAAGTAAAAGTTAATTTAAAAATATGTAATTATGGTTATGTAAACCCAACAAATCTAACCTACATTCCAGATTATAATCTGATCGTGTTTCAATATTAAAATACTTTCTGCTTCTTGCATTAGGTTTTTACAAATACTTCTTTTTTACAAAAAATGCAAATGTTGGGTTTACTCAGGTCAAGGGTATTTACTCTAATAACCATATACATGTTATTCGGTGGGCCAGTCATGTGGTCAAGCAGAAAATGCAGGCGCCAATTAAAAACTTTACAGTCTTTGTTTTCGGTAGTCTTTCTTTGGAGCGTATCCATTATCATCGTCATCGTCGTCGTCGTCGTCGTCGTCGTCATCATCATCATCATTTTCATCATCATCATCATCATTAATACATTTTACGATCATTAATCATCATCCTTTAATCATAATTAATGGTCATCAACATCATTATTTATTATTGATTATCATCATCGTTAAGTCATGACATCAAAAACTATCATTAATTATCATTACTCATAGAAATAATAGTAATAAATAATAATAATAATAAAGTTCTTAACCGTTCTGAATCGACAGAACAAGTGGTTTTCATTGACTATCAGAGTAGTAGCTTCAACTGTGCAAAACAAAAGGAGGACCCTAGAGAGAATAAATAATGATAATGCAAATAATAAGGAAAGAAAAAAGAAATCTTACCGTCCAGTATTTATGCACGGGGCGGAAGGGGAGGGGGGTTGAGGGTACGGTGTATGCCCTAGTGACTGCTCTAGTTGTTGTTGTTGTTATTCATAACAAGGAAATGAAATTCAAACATAAAAATTCCCTAGTGGCTGCTCTAGTTGTTGTTATTGTTGTTATTGAGAACAAGGAAATGAAATCCAAAGATAAAAAAATAAAGTATTTTATCTATTCTGTTTTTTCTTTTTAAACATAATTACCCCCAAAAAACGGAAAAACAAAAGACAAATACTTACCACCATCGTCATTTATGATCTTTCCAATCCTCAACATATAACTTTTACTCTCTTATAGAATGCGAAATGAAGCATAAGTGGATGAGAAAACATTTCCTGATTTGGTCTTGACTTTTATGCGTAGATGGAAATGCCCGCCGGACGTGAGCTTGTGCATAAAGTCGAGCCCGAACTAAAAGTCTCTACGTAAATGACCGAATCCCCGTTGGTATTCAGCCCATGTTCTGTTAAAATTAAAGGTGCTATTTTGTCGTCTCTGCAACACCTAAAATGAAAACTTTAGGTGTTATAAATATTATAAGTAATAAACTGCAACAATCTGAAACATAGGGTACATTTACTGGACAATCATACAAAATGATTTTAACTTTGCCGGGCGTTCAGACTAGCGGGATTCGCCAGGCGCGAGAATTAGCATAATGAACCGTAACCAGAAAACGAGTTTGGAAACATTGGGCTCGAAACGTAATTGAATGCTGATTGATAATTTTAGTCGATGCAAGGCCCCCCGCAGCGATTAAACCCCGGCTTAGAAAAGTTAAACACGGTGGCACGCCAGGCCTAGTTACTATAAAAACACAGCCCGGCTTGAGATAAGCCACCTAGTTCAGACTGGCAGGTGGATAAACCCGGTGAATTGAGCCGGGTTTATCCACCTAGTCTGAACTAGGCCAGAGTTAAACATTACGCAGCCACGTGCGTTTGTGCGACAACATGTGTTTGTTAGACGTATTCCTGGCCCCGTTCTGATTGGTCAGTTGTTAAGTTTGATTGACACTACGGAAAGGTCCATTGTCTCTATTTTATTATTCTTAACTATTATTCTTATGTAGGTCTCGTTGGTGTTGTTGTTGCTGCTGCTGCCGTAGTTTATGATAACAATATTATTATTATTATTATTATTATTATTATTATTATTATTATTATTATTATTATTATTATTTATTATTATTATTATTTATTATAATATTATTATTTTTAATATTAATATTCAATAATAATATTATATCATTTTTATCATTAAATTATTAATATTATTATAATTATTATTTATATTATCATTATTATTATTAGGCTATTATTATTATTATTATTATAATCATTCATATTATTATTACTATTATGATTTATACACATCTTGTTTAGAGTTTTTAGACTTACCTATGTCAAAACACCAAAAATGTTTAACATGTACAAGGCGAAGTAACATAAATGATACTTACGGTCCAACCCTCGTTATCATCTATTTCGCACATCGCAAGAAACGTTTCTTTTCCAGTTGTCAAGGCATAAATGCCAGATTTTGATCGCGGCAGTCCCTTTGGAATTTGGCTGCAGTCAGTAAACTGAAAGTGAATCAACACATAACAATTTGATATTTGATTAATACACACACACACACACACACCCAACACACACACACATGATTTTTGTATTGTAATTAATTTCTAAAGTTTTAGTACTTGTAGTTTCTGAACGCACCATCAAAGTGTGTGCCACTGAAACACATGTGTACGTTCAAATAAATTATTCGTAGATGCTCGTATCCAAGGTCAATCAAGGTCAATCGACATGACCTGTGTTGCGTGAATGGCCATATATGGTGTTTGTCAATTAATATTGATACTAGCATGCGCAGTTCTAACTACGAATTGGCTTATTGTTGACATGCTGTTCGTTAAAATTGAAAAAAAAAACAATTCCATATTTAATTTGCCTAATTTGTATACAAGACTTGCAATAAAAAATCATTTTAGATAAGATGTTATTTCTAAAAATATTCTTGAGGTTTTCTCCGATTTTGTTGACGGCAGGGTACCTGAAACAAGAAGTTATGGCACTGTGTTCAAAATACATTACTCACGTATGGTTTAATGGAATAATATATCATTTCGTCGTTTTTGACCTTGTTGGGCAACCCCAAGTAAGTAAACTGTGTGCATTTGTACGTCTTCCTGTTAAAAGATATGGATATGCATGGAGGGTAAAAGTGTAAACACTGTAAGCAACATGCGATGACTGAGGTAGTCTTTTTCGGTGTTTGTACAGGTTTAGAATCTTTCCGCCCACAACGGAGAACGTTTGTACATCGCACCGACAATTCGAAGATTTCACTTCTCATTTCCTGATGGTTTCCTAGAGAACAGATAAATACTAACTTAAAACATTTCAATATTGGATAACAACATCTTCAAAATATAATATCACACCTATACTGAATTAATTACACGGATAATTTATTGACGTCAACAGCTTTAATGGTCTTGTTATCAGTGGCGGATTAATTGGGGGTGTGGTGGGGACGGGCGGCAGCGGGCCTTATCCATCCCCCACCCAATTTTTTGATTAAAAAAATAATGTTGTAAAAATTAAGTAATAATAGTAATATTCAAATTTTAAGCCTGCAAATGCAATTTCCGGCCATCTAGAGGTGCCATAATCATTTTTTTTGTAAAAGTCCACCCGACCAATTATAGTGTTTTCATCATATATCAATATAGTATATTAAACATTTTTAAATATAAGTAAAAATGCAGTAAAAGTTATCGTGTATATTTGCAAACTGTTAGTACAAAAATAAATACTGTATTATGTCTTCTTATTGAATGGTAAACAATGAATATGCATAAGTTGATTGTACACTGTTATCCAGTTGTAGCTGGATTGTCAGTCAATATTCATACGTTAAAGTTATATGCATTATTAATTAGTTAAACCGCTAACTGCATTGTTATTATTTTATTACTTTATTATTTTATAATTTTATTATTTAATCATTTAATCATTTTTCATTCTATTATTTTATCATTTCATTATTATCCTTTTATTAAAATCATTATTTTCTTATTTTATTATTTTTTGTTTATCGTTTGTCGTCTATCGTCTGACGTCAATCGTCCATCGATCATCGCCCATCGTCTATCGTCTCTCGATATATATTGCTATAACTTAATAAATGGAGTAACGATAGTCTGTCAAAAAATTAATGATGATGACGATGACGACGACGATGACGATGATGATGATGATGATGATGATGATGATGACGACGATAACGGTAACAAAAGCGCATTGAGACTTCTGTATAATGGGCTATGTCAAGTCCCACTCATTACATTATAATACTGTTGATGTTGATTATGCGATTGCACCAGCGTAAAAGCGCAACACATTTTGACATTATTGATATAAAACCATGGTTCAACGGACACTCATTGGG